CTCGCTTGTTCGGAATATAGCCGTTGCGTTCCCTTCTGTGGGTCTTTTTTCAGGCACTGGCCACTGGAGCGGGTCAGCAGTCAGAAACAACAGACTGGCGAATCAGCAGATATATCAGGGTTCCTCAGTTGCTCCTAGTATTTCATTCCGAACTGACAAGAGTCAGAAAAACTTGACTTACATCTTCAGGTAACCTCACGTTTACTACTCATGAGTAGGCAATCGATTTGAGAAAATACAATATATGCACAGGCCAATCGGACAGAGGCGGGTTCATAAGGATGACGGAATCGAACACCCTATTTTCCTCATGATATTGCAATGCCTGACTCCGCTTAAAAGCAGGATATCCGCGATTGAAGCTGGCGTCTTCGAATTTTGTGAAATACGGAATAATGTGCCCTTTTTCGCTTGAACATTCTACCTACCCACGAGAGTGCCTTAATTACACGACTACAGGACGGTATTACGTGGCTCAATCACTGGAACTTAGGGGTGAACGGGATGACAGTTTGCTTTGACTGCTAAATGGGTTACTGGTTGAACAATTTGCCCTCTGGTTGACCAGCGTGATGGGTCACACTGTTTGAGTCTCTGGGTCTGGGGGTGACCCCTGAACCATTTTCGTCAGCTCCAGTCCGACTCAGAAGAAAATGGCAAAAAACGGAGTCCATCAGCAGTATTACAGCTTTTTGATTACCAGGGGGATTTCCGACAAAAACCATCATCTCACGCGTTGGTCCATGCTTTCCGAATTACACAAATTTTAGACTAGTACCGGCCCCACGATAAGATACTACTTAACTGAGTAGTCTTACTGCCAGCAGATATAAAATGTGTTTTTAGATGAACTTACAAGGTATGAACAGTAGTTTATCCACGGCTGATTAATGTAGCATGAGTTAAGTTCTTGGCAAGGATGGATTTCAATGTTCGTGATATGCAAATCGCAAGCTCTACGAACCATTGGTCATAAAAGGTACTTTACTGTCGGGAAGCTGCCCCGTACACTGTTGCCTGTTTTACCTCTCTTTCTTGAGATCTTCTTGAAGTTGAGTGAATTGATTCCAATCTACCGACGAATTGGGTTTTCCTGCAGTCAGCTGAAGAAGTAAACCTTGTCGAAATACCGAAAAGGAATAAAGTCTTAGCAGCGATTTTGAGAACATGATCCGTAAAGTATAATATCACCTAAATGACCCTTGTTTATTTCAGTGGATTTCAAGACCGAATTCCTAATTTGTTTCAAAATACCTTTGGGTGTTCAGCTGTTGAGTCAATATCACATTTTCTTACTGCCGCGGAAGATTACCCGAAATTTTGACCAGCCACATTGAAGAAAAAGTCTTTACGGCCTGCACCAGTTTCTATGGCTGCTCGAAGCAATGTTTTCCTCATGCCATTAAGAAACCCCCCCCCAAAATCTTCGCCAGGTCACAAGCGCAATCTGTTACAGTTTGAATCCACACAATATCAGACACATGGGATCACTTTTACAAACTCTCTAGTTTAACTCATGCGAAAGATCATTTCAAATACAGCAAGATATCAGCAGAAAACAGTGTCTTATACAAGTCATATATCGATCAGGTAGTCTGGAACTTACAACAACAGAATCGGTCTGCAGCCATGATCGATTAGCAAACAGACACATAGTTCACCTTTTGGACATGAAGAAAAGAGAGGACCACTGGATTCCGGAGGTTGCCAGACCAAAGAACGTCTTGAATGACTGAGATACGAGCGATTTCTAAGAGAACTTGAGAGCTAGGCTAGTTGTTACGCCTTTAATTGGTGTCCCTTGGAAAAAATGACGAAACGGACTTAGGGTTGGAAATGCCCATTCTCTTATATCAATGGCGAACAAATTCGCTCTTCACCGACCAATGTATATAGGGCCTGGGGATTCAACCAACTTAGCGGTTTTAACGGAGAAAAGTAGTTGGAAAATTTCAAAATAATACGTATCTAACTGAAACAGGAAAAATATGAGGGGCAAAATATGCAGCTCTCAAATTTTGTAAGATTTACTATCCGGCTAATTCATCTTTGCACTTTCACTGTTGTCAGTTATGTATTTGAAACATTTTCCAAGCGTCTTAGCAAAATTCCTCTCTTTCATCCGCTGGACAGAGGAGAAACATGACCCGTACCACTCAATCTCTCTTTTGGATTTCACTTGTTTACTTTACAAAACTCCTCTTCCCCATCGTTTTTTTCGTGACCGCCAGAACCCAAGTAAGGCAATACTTTGCTTTGTTCATCCTTATGTTCCAAGCTTCGAAAACTCTTTACTAAGATGACCAGTAAAAAGTTGCGTAAGCGGGTTGAAAGGGCTAGTTAGGGCCTACCCAGCCTGGTAATTTATGGTAAACTAGCTGGTGTAAGAAGTGTTAACTCAGATGGGATTTCTGTGGCAAAGAATTCTCAAGGTGGGGACTGTTTGAAGTAAAGTTTATTACATTCGTTCAATAAAAACCGTGAATGATATCCGAGCAAATCCGAATTGCTTATACTGCGCCGTCATGCTGAAGTTAGCTCGGTCGCTGATGGCATGCGTACCCTTTCCTACTGAAGACTGAATTTAACAGACACGATGTGTCTGTATATATTTGTTGGCCATTCGGCCTTACTTTGATGAAGATATCGTCCTGTATGTGAAGCCGATCTGTGCTGGAAAGCCAAAAAGCTGTGTACAGCAGTCCCATCCTTATTAGAAACCATCGATTGTGTACACCTCAATAAACTCAAGAGAGTTTCAAGGCTGCAACATACTGGCTGGTAGTTTGAACACTTAACTATTCGGCCGTGAGCGGTTGATCAGCGCTGTGATTAACTCACACTTAGGGTATGGAGCCGCTCATTCTTCAATCATGGAATCTAAATCAGACGGCCCCATGTGTTGACACACTACCCACAATTTATAAGTAGTTCAAAGGGAGAAAAAAATTGACTCGATGAGTGAAACTCCTGAAAGTCGTCACTCGAGGAGCCAATCAACACATGATCACATGATGTGGATTGTTTGATTGAGGGATGGGAGCCAATCTCGCTACCGATAGGTTTCTGTTTCCGAACTGTTGTGCAGACTACTAGCCGGGTGGTCGCTGGTTCGAGACCCGTATCGGATTTTCGTGAGATGCACGCTACTGACGATTGCTCATAGGGAGAAAACAGATCGCAATGCTTCTCGGCTTTTCAGTATAGCTTCGCTCTACTAAAAGGATGAAATTTCTACCAATAATTCCGAGATCTCCTCACGCTATAAATACTACATTTTTTGTTGTAAGAAAGCTCTGAAGCTCAATTTGAGCGATTCACTTCAGCGTGATCTGTAGAACCTAGGACTGTCCGCCGTCTGGCAGAACTGGTGATCACTTATTCTCTAGAATTATATGTTTCTTTCGGGGTCAGTACTCTTCGCGAACCGCTCAGCTATTTCCCGTTATGTTAGCACGCACTTTTCGTATAAGCTCCTGAATCAAAAAAATACGCAGGAATATTTGTCACAAATTGTCGCGCAAATGACAGCGTTTGTCCTTCAAAGCCCTCATCTCTAATCAACAACTATTTGTACCCGAAAACATGACATTTGATGACGACGCAGATCTGTAGGTAAAGGAATAAAAAGCTCCGAGAAAGTTCCAAGATGTCCTCATGATCAAGTCACGATCAATTGGTGATAACTGTACTGATGTGCCATCAAACTGATCAGTAACCTAGGTTACTCGTAGCCTTTCATTCTTTGCAGTATGAACTTTGACACTTTGAAGGTGACCCGAATGCAACAGAACTCACACGGATATTGACTTGAAGTCCTTAGCGGTAAAAGAATCAAAAGGTGAGTGCATAGTGAACAGTGTTCATTGATACCTCAGGTTGAGCAGTATCTACTGACACCAATCGTCTGATCAAATCAGATCAAGTTGAAGCCTCCATCTGGCTCAAAAAAGAAGCTCAATAATATGGCCAGGTCAGGAACTACTGGCGTGGTTTGAAACCCATCGGATCGCATGCCAAATGAATCCAGAAAATATACAAGGATTAAACCGTTTCATGAAGGCGAGATGACTGAAGTGGTGAGAGCGCGAATCTGCTGACCGGAAGGTCCGTGGTTCGAACCCGACCTCTGCCTCCCGACTTCCCCTGTCTAAGCTTGGGCAACCTGACAGTATCCCAGCCCTCGTGCCTCATTTGTGTGACATGGCAGCTAAGCACCGAAAGGATGTTACAGCTGAACGATGGATATAAACCGTTTCATGATCTCATGGCCCCAAGCGTTTGAGAAAATTCCACACGGTTTGGTGAAAAATTGTAGTGAAAGTAATGCAGTTCCAAGATCTAAGCAATTAATTTTACGATATTTACAAAATCCGAAGAGTTTTAAGGCTTGAAAATAAGTTGATTATGACGGAATTGACTCAAAATTCCTCAGAAAACGGAATTTTCAACGGTAGTATTCGCGACTTAAATAATTCGGATCACCCTGTGAAAAGGAAACGCGACAGTGTGTCGAAATATTGGTAACTCGGTTGATCTCTTCGCCGACCTTGGCAGTTAGCCTGTAAACTGTTCGTCACCAATGAAGGTGGGTGGAGGGTGCGCAGTTCGGTGGAGGTCCCATCCTCACCCGCTTGCGGTTATAATTGGTGTATACTAGCTGGCCAATGGCATAAAAGGAACAAATTATGCAAGTTCATTTTTGAAATATGTCGCTTGTCAGTGATCCTGAGCATGGGGACCTGCTCCCACATTGCATAGGATTTAGTCATTGATAAGACGATTTTGGAGATGTAAAGTGAAAAGCCTGAGAAAGGGTGCTTCTCATTTTGTAACGGGATGTGAGGTACCTAGAGGTGATTGTGTCAAGACAGGAAAGAGGTACTTTCCTGTTTGATGAGCCGAATGTGATTATATATATATATATGTATATATATATATATGCATATATATAACGGTCCTCTTGGACTCGCACTTTTTCCATACATCCTGTCTGTTAGGCAGGAATCCACGCGGTTCCCACTATACCGCATGTCTTTAGGCGCTGCTACGGCCGAGAAGCCTGGCCCACTCGAGGTTGGCCCAGAATTCGGGAAGCTTGCCTGTCCGGCATCAAGTCGAGATCTGACTGTTCAACAATCTGGACCCAACAGCCAATCATGACCCAGTATTGGCCAAATGCCGATTGCCAATGGCGCATCCAGAACGCATCAGAAATTCCAGAAAGTTATAACCGCTTGCGCCATATATAAGAAGCGCTGTACAACTGTTCTTGACTTCGTTTTGGGCGTTAATAGACATTGTGCACCTTTGGTGGTTGTTTTGACGTGAACACTAGCTTGGGAGCCTCAGACCGAGAACTAAGCTGAGGAAAATACCGTTACTACACTATCCTATGGTCACCATCGTTGTATCCAAACGCTCTAGTCAAAAACCGACAACTCAGACAGTTCTCCGGCAGTGTGGCTTTTGCAGTGGTCATTGGCTTATTAAGTCATGAAAAAGTGGGAAGCGAAAAGTGTATAGACTCGGATGGAAAGCTGTCATACACAGATTAGTACTGTATGGTTGGTAACTACCGACCATAGATCAGGTGGCTGATGATCCATTCTTTACGCTTATCACTTTGCTTCCAGACTTTTCGTTCCCAATCGTTAGATCATTATTGCGCGGTTGGATTGGTATCTCCCACTCAGTGTAGTCATGTGACTGGCCGATTAAGGAAGAGCCTTACCGTAAGTTCACTGGTCCGTTTTCGATTCCTGCTGCCTTGCGGTCCGGAGACCTTGTAATCGATTGGCTTGTTAAACATTTTGGTATCTGATCGATTACAGTCACTGAACTTCTGATCGGTCCGTTGACAGGCTCTGCTATGTTTGTGTGGAAGAAAATCCTTACCTGTTTTCCAAACTACTGTAATTGCGGCGTACGACCATGAATGTTTGTCCCAGATAGAACACCTTCCATTTCACAGTGAAGGAATCCATCAGATTTCCATTTTTTGAAGGTTGCATATTTTTCAACCTGTGGGCACTTATGTGAACAGGATGGAACAGCATTGGGACAGAAAGCTTCTATTGAAAGACAACGGATCGGTTGGTATTCAGACCCCTTTGCCAATAGCGTACTGTACACTAAGCCTCTGCGTCACATACACTAGTCATCGCACTCGTGATATCAGGCCGCGGCGTTTCGCCTAAACTTATGCATAAAAATCTAACCCCTGCTTCACCTAAGACAATCAATCACTGGGGAATAGAATCGACGATATAGTGTATGACACGGAGTTGCGATGTGTGCAGTCACCCATCTTTGTCTTCCATGATCAAGCAACGTGACGAAAATCCATTCGTTGCTGTACTGAAACGACATGGAAGCTGCCTTACACGCGCTGGACAAATGTGGCTGACAGAAGGTAGTGTCAACATCATCGATCCTGAAACTCATTTGGCCTCGAGTTCACCCAATCTACCGGCACCAAACATAATGTGCTTAAATCCGAGAATATCCAGTTCGATCATAAGGAGGGACGAGTTAAGAGTTGATATTTCCAGGATCGATATTATAAACAGGAATCTGCAGCTAAGAATACATGAAGTTTTGCTGACACAGTTGGATTTGCTGTTGCCCGGTTAATTCCTCATGGAATTATTAGCCGAAGTCAGTAGTGAGACAGTGATGATGTAACAGTGATGAGTCTTTTATTCCAATTGCAGAGTAATGAACCGGTTTCTTCTCCCAGTATTCTTAGAAATTACCTACTGGTACCTACTGGAATCAGCAGTACAAGATCCTGTCTGGGAAAAGATTTGAGCCACCAACCACTGGCTTACCGAATGGATGTTCTACCTTCCTTGCTACTGAGGAAACACGCCTCCTGACCATCTTAGCCCCCTGAACTCCATAAATGACTAGGCCTAACGGATTAACGGTTGGTTTTGTTAGTCAGGACTTGTAGCCAACCCACTGTGTGATCCCTACAACGACCCAGGTGTCGTCAGTATTCAAGAAGCAGCAAGGTCGGTGCTTTACGTACATCCACCGGCATGTCACTCCGTCCATCCGCTCCAAGATTCCTGATATCGTTCTCCTGATGCACGTCACATGTACTCAACCTCCTGTGGGACGAACATGTTCGTCTTCAATGGATTTTTTACACGAGCGCAGACATTGACAGACGTGCGGGGGAAACTCACTAGTTCTATTCGAGGTGTTCATCGCTTGCATGTCTGTGTTGTAAAATTTAATTTAACCAGGAATTTTCGGTCAATTTTACTTTTACATGAAATTTTTTGCTTTCTCCATTCCAATAACCGGTTTTTTCTACCTTCCGTTTGATAAAGAGAACGTTTGTTGATATAGAGGAGTTTAGGGATTATCGAGAATTTACCGTTGAAACAGCCGGATAGCGTTGATAAAGAGCAAGATCGATTAAAACGATCAACTGATGTGCGAACCAACAACGTCTACACCTCTATTCCTAAGCACGCTATTGAGAGATTCGGGAGTTGGAATTGATTGATGTGTATTCTGATAGGTTCCATCTGTGCATTTTTCCACCTTAGATAACATGGCGCGATACAGTGAGTAGTCATGATCCAGCTAAATCTTGTTCAGGAGAGTTGCACATGTGATAACGATATGTTTTGGAGGATATTGTTCACGCTCTGTCACACGTGGAATCCCTAAGTGGTGGATAAACAAAGTGAAATATGATGCACTTGAATAAGCAAGCTGTCTTCCTGGAAGAATGAACGCAACCGCCAAAATTTTTCCCAGTCACGTGGATTCTGCTGGTCTGGTTGGCTGACTGACCAAACAGCGTTGATCGATCCACTACGGTTCGTAAACGTTTGCGCACCGTTTGACAATACCTTGGACCGTGAGCGAGTGTACCGTCTTCAAATTACTTTAAACGCATCACTTCAAGTAACATCCGGCAAAAAGTGCCAAGCGCCCTCTGGTATGCGTGTGATATTTACATAAAGAAACAAAACAATTACGAACAGCCGAATAGAGTTCTTTTGAGCTATATCTTTGTAATGTACTACTCATAAGGTTGCTGAAAATCCGTCGACAGCCCACGACCGGTTTCGTTGCCTGAGAACATCACAAACGAGAGATTCAGCTGGGTTCCAGGTGAGTCTCTCGAAAAACCAAGTTAGTTTGCAAATGAGTGTATATTCGCTTATTTCGTGCAATTTGGTTTCAAGTAGAACATAAGGTTGACGGAAACCCGGAGACTACGCCTACCTGATGAGCCTACCCAAAAAGGGCGAAACCGTTCGTGGGCTGTCGACGGATTTTCAGCAACCTTATGAGTAGTACATTACAAAGATATAGCTCAAAAGAACTCTATTCGGCTGTTCGTAATTGTTTTGTTTCTTTATGTAAATATCACACGCATACCAGAGGGCGCTTGGCACTTTTTGCCGGATGTTACTTGAAGTGATGCTTTTGAGCTAATCCGAGAAGAACGACAAGTTGACGTGCGGCTAAATCATGCTGCTGACCAGTCGCTCATGGCTGAATAGCCAAGCGTTCAAACAAGTAGCCAGGGGGTCATGGATTCAAGACGTTCTACGGTTTTGCACTGCTGATGATCCGGAATAAGAACGAAGCAGCTATACAGGGCTTCCCGGATTTTCAACATAGATTAGCCTCACTTAAAGAACAAAATCTCTGTTGATAGTTCTTGAAATTCCTCATGCTACCAACAAACAAGAGGTGAGTTTGTCGAAGAAGGAGGGAGATTAATTTTAAATTAAGTCTATTTGGGATAACTTCCTCAATGTCATGGAGAAAAAAGGTCCTCTAATGCACTGTCTCAAATCCTTCTGTTTATTTTTTGTCAGGAACCGCTTGAGTAGGCAAGCTGGATGCCTTCGAAATAGACTGCGGTTTGGGAAACAAGATTACCGGGGATGTTCTTTTTTGGGATGAAAATAGCCACAAGTGTTCACGAAAAACTGATTCAGGTTAAGCAATAAGTTTTTTGGGGAAGTCAGTAATACCCAACAGACCCGGTAACGTCAACATTCAGATTCCTGACAAAGAATTTTTCAAAGGAGACTCAGAAGATGAATCATAGAATGTTGGGAAACGAATAGATATTTGCCAGAACGATGTTCTTGGGCATTGGCCTGAAAAATTCATTGACACCGACAGATCACCAAATTCATTATTGTCGAATGAAAAAACAGTGCGGTATCGGGGATTATTCGTCTCTTGCACAGACTCCCTGGACCATTGGCCCCGAAATTAGCGTGGCCATCATGTTGAACGATTCATCTATCCGTCGCCCGGTTGAGCTCAATGTCTTCAGGCAAACTTCTCTCAAACAGGCAATACAAGTCAGCTATGTTGGAGATTTCGTACAATACCAAGGAAATGTTACTCGACATGACAGGGGGATGATCCCTTCTTGAGCAAGTATCCGTTTGAGAACTGAACTCCACCTCGTTTTCTAAGTTATCCATCTAAACTTTGAGTGGATAAATCAGACCTTCAAGTGGAAGAGAATGATCACTTCAAGATCAGGAAAGTCAACTTTCCCTACTCGAATCGGGAGGGATGA